TGTAATTCCTAATATTATTAACATCACAACCTGCTCCCAGCAGGTAACTACTGTAAAATCTATACAATGTTAAAAATCATGAATGAGCCTTGAGAAATGGAAAGGTTGATTTACCCTTGAAAGTATATATTCCAGCTATGGCGGTGCCACAAACCATACTCCTAATGCCAGGCCCAGGTTTACACGACTGTGGCAAAGTCATGTAACCCTACAAAACTGGATACACACAACATTTGTATGTATCCAGTATAAAATCTTTGCCAAATCAGACATGAGGTGAGATTTCCTAACAGATCAGTCAGATGGAAACTGTGCTGCTGATGGCTGAAGACACAGGAACAGGGTGCACGCAGCTAGAAAGAAGAAAAGGCAGAAGTGTGGAGGTGATTGTGGGGACTTTTTACCCAATTAACTTGATTAATTGGGCTTTTTTGTACCAATGGCTAATACTTTTCATGCAATAGTAATATGTCACAGTTTGAACATTATGTGTAAAAACATTTAGAAACGTGTGTTACATGTTCTGATGGGGTTAGATTTGCAAATCATTGCATATTTACATTTTCCACAGTGTTCACATTTTTATGAATTAGTAATAGATGTGACGAGACATTTTTAGTTCATATGTGGTTAACATATGGAAGTGCATGTAACCCAAACCACAAACCAACCTGAGCTCTCACTATAGTTCTTCATGGGAAACACATGAGGAAGTGCATCGTCACGACAGAGAAGAAGATTACGGAGACTCTCAGCTCGTCACTTCATGATGATGTTGTTGACGTTGTGGTTTTTAACAAGTTGACTGTGTTGGTCTCAGTCCAATTATAAGCATAACTAATCATTTGTGTGTTTACTTTTTAAATATGCTAAGCATTGTTTGTTGTTTGTTGTGTTCTTTCTATCAGACCGTCTTCAGCCAGAGCTACACCTGTATTAGGAAAGGTAAGAATGGCAGCTTTGCATTACTGCCTATTGTAAACACGGTCTACCTGAAATTGTACACTGCTTCACTGAAGCATTGCGTACGCATACATCCTATTTCTCCATCCAAACAAGGAAAACGGCACACTGGAAATGCTACCGAAATTTCAAGATGTCCCAGCCAGAAGTAGAAAGATCACAACAATGTTTTTCTTATTCTCTAAGGTCTTTTGTTTCACTCATTTATGAATCTGTAAAAGTATTTTACTGCAAAAGTGGTTAAATGTACTGTAGAAAACCTGTCTTAAATTAAAAACAAACAAACTGCAGAATAAAGCCAGGCCAAATAGAACAAATACAACTGAGCTTGTCTAATTTCATAATTGAAGCTCTGATTCATCCCGAGTTGAGTGTGACAGTCGAAGATTTTGCTGGAACTTCCTGGACACACCAACCAGGGTTTGTTGGAACAGTCTTGCTGTTCTGTTCACTGGCCTCATCAGGAAGTTTGATCTCAGGCTCGTCTTTCCAGAACATGTTATTGATTATATTATCATCTCACAGTTTAGTGGTGTGAAGCAGTGTGCTTCACTCACTGAAACTGAGTCCCTACTGTATTGACTGGAGCTGCCAATATGGCTGCGTCTAACCGTCACTCGATTTCAAACAAGTCATTTCATCCATTCTTCAGGAACTCTTTAGAAATTCCTTCACTTCCTGACACCTGGCAGAGCCCCCATTGCACAATGAAGAGGTCCAAGTCAGCTAACCCACAGAGCCACCAAGTGCCCAAGTCCCATGGGAGGGGGGACAACAACTAGTCGGGAGCAGCATAGAGGGAGTCCCCCCCTACTCAATAACAGTGTCCTAGAGGGACCAAGGCTCAATGAGCTCCAGATGCAGAATCAGAATCGAATTTATTGGCTGGTTCTTGAGAGGTGCAGGTCCTGGATGGAGGGCAGGGGGGCGCCTATATTCTTTTCTGCTGCCCGTACAGTCCACTGCAGTCTGCTCCTGTCCTGTTCACTGGCTGCTCCATACCAGACTGTGATGGAGGAGCACAGGACAGACTCAATGACTGCAGTGTAGAACTGGATCAGCAGCTCCTGTGGAAGACTGTACCTCCCCAGTTGTCTCAGGAAGTACATCCTCTGCTGGGTCTTTCTGAGGTCCTGGGAGATGGTGGTACCCAGGAACCTGAAGATCTCCACAGTCGACACAGGGCTGTCTGATATATTTTGAGAGGGGGCAGTGTTGAGGGATGTCTCCTGAAGTCCACTGTCATCTCTACAGTCTTAAGCATGTTCAGCTCCAGGTTGTGCTGACTGCACCAGAGTACCAGCCGCTCAACTTCCTGTCGATATGCAGACTCCTCACCATCCTCATAGAGTTGTTTTAGTTATGAATGTGAGCCTAATGCTGATGTGGACCACTCCTTCATTAGTTTGTTTTATGTCCTAAGGAAGTGAAATAAAATGCTCCTAAGTTTCATACCATGAAATAGTTATGCAGTGGGCCCATGTATTCAAAACCATTTACTGTTAGATCATCAGTATTACCAAAATGTTTGGAGGTTTCTCTGTTTCATGTTGCTAGTGCTGGTCCATTTGAACCTGAAGCTCCGGCGCATGTGTCAAAAAAACATCACACCACTTCAGAAGCACTGTGGTCTGGTTCATCTAGCCAGATTCACATGATCAGGGACAAAGCTTCATTCAGTACGTCACTGATTCAGTACCTGATTCAATGTTTATAAGGAAGTGAATCATTGGCAGGATTTGTGGTGTAGTGTGAGAAAGAGAGGAAGGCCTTGCATGGCTTGTTCTTGGGGAGGGGTTTAAGCTTTAAAAGCAGAGTTAATGCTGAGTTCAAGGTGGTGCTGTAAGACTAAAGGCTGGGTAGCATCCCACTAGGCATGAGCCTAGCGTTTGGACCTGCTTTAAGTTTGGTTGTACAAGTTTCGTTTTTGTTGTTCGTACCCCCAGCTTGGCTTTTTTTGTACATAAATGGCACATCGGGTGAAGAGAATCCCTGCCTCCAAGTGTGCTTCCTCCACAGCATCTGCGGCCCCCCTAGGGTCCCTCGTTATTTTCAGTGTACATTATCCACTTAAGTCACATTATGAGTAGTTTTAAAACCATTTCTTTCTTTCTTTCGATCAGTCCTTGACTTCAAGTTCCAGCCAGCTTTTGATTTTTTTCATTTAAGAAATATTGCTAAACTCAAGAGCATCATCTCAAATAGTGAACTTAGTGCATTACTTTAATCCAACTAGGAGGAAATCAGGGCATTATTTTCATATTGTCTGTCTGTAGGAGCTGCAAATCCCTCAATCTGTTCAAAATGCTGTTACAACATTTTAATCCATTCATACATTTTCTCATCTCATGTCATTGTTAAAGCATCTGCACTGCCTCCCAGTGAGGTTTAAGTTACAATTCACAAGTTAAAAAAACCACTTAAAATTAGTGTATGTAAGACATGTTTGGAGTTTCTTTGTTTAAAATGGTTGATCTTGTATTAGCACATCACGAAGTGTACGGCACGGTCCAACTAAAATAAACAGCCATAGAAGGCCCTGACATTTAACTTTTACCCAAGAAAAATATTCTTTACTCTTAGGTTTGTATAGGTTGTCACACCCTTGAAATAATATTGGCACAACATATTTTACCAAGCGAGATATGATCAGTACTTCTTTTAGTTGCATCCTTTAGAGGTTGCCACAGTGGATCATCTTCCTCCATCTCACCCTTTTCTGTCTTCCTTCACTGAAACCATGAACTTCCACTCTAACCTGCCACTTCACCTTTCTTGTGTATTGTCCATTGCTTTGAATGCTCCTTCCATCCTCACCTTTCTGTCTCCCTCTATCCACACACATGTAATCTGTCCACAGACTTTCATTCCTCTTATCTTCATTTTATACCTCCAGTACTCCTCCCTACTCTCGTCACAGATCACAATGTCGTCTGGAAACATCACAGTGCATGGAGACTCCAACCTGACCTTAACTGTCCGTCTGCCCATCACCGTTGCAAACAAGACAGGGCTCAGAGCTGATGGTGTAATCCTACCCACACCTCAAACCCATCTGTCCCTCTTTCTGCACACTTCACCACTGTCTTCATATTCTCATGTTCCTAGATCCACACTTAACATAAGCGTCTTGCACCATCCTCACGCGAACTGTATGTAGTGCTAAGTCGTGACTTATGGTAGATATCGGTCACTTGTATGACTTCATCTAATAGGAAATGACACTGATCATCACACTAATTATCTTTGTTTTCATCACCTATTCGATTTTTACCCCTCAGCCGTAAAAGGCTGTTGGGGTGGACACCTACATTGTGAACGCAGTAACTCAAGGAGATTCAAATTGGTACCATAATTATATCTACTAAAAATCTTGGATAAGTTTGACTCTCATTTACCTCAATCTCAAAGTCAGAGGCCGAGTTTTCTGAAATTCTTGTGAATGCAGAGAGGAAGTCAATCAGGGTGCAGATACTGAAAAGTTCAAATCTCAGTGACTTCGACCTGAAGTCTGTCTGCATATAGATTAGATTTGTTAAAATTACAATTTCCCCAAAATCAATTTTTGAATTATAAGCAAATTACTGATATAATTTATATTTAGCCAAATCACAATTGTCACAATTAGAACATTACAATTACTGAGACAAAGAAACATCTGATAGGGAACTTCCATATCATTTTTGAACATTTGTTCTATCGCTGATGTATTTTTTATTATAGATCATGAAGTTATATTTTTGAAAATTGATAGTGGCCTAATTCAACTGAAACCATTTGAAAATCAATTACACAGCCTCTGGAGTCGGCAGAAATCCCTTCCCTTGCCTTCTTGGGTGAGTCGGATTAAACTTGGGGTTTCCTAACTCAACTCCACCAGACCTACTATTAAAACTGAGCTCACCTGCCTCTCAACGAGCATAAGAGAAGAATCGTGGTAGGTGAGTGTTTGTATTGTGGAGAGATGCAACACTTTATGGACACTTGTTATGGCAACCAGGCTTGCAAGTTGAAGTAGGAACCCTGATAGAATTTACTAGTGAATCCTGACTTCCAGATTTGATGACTTCCAAGAATTGTGGTGATTATAAATCAGATTCTCTTGTAGCTGTAGTGGACTCTGGATCTAAAATAACTCAGTCCAAACACAAAAACAGCAGTTGAGGAGGCCGACCACGTGGAAGGTGACTGCGCCGAAACAGTTATGAGGGCCGACCACATGGGAAGCAGTGGCAGCACAGGAAAAACAGGGCTGGAGGGCAACAGTGGCGAAGAAGGGCTGTTGTTGGTGTGGTTTGGTGGATGTATGAGGGCATGCAGGCTGTGGACAGTCAGGCGGTGCAGGCAGTGGACAGTCAGGACGTGGACGGGCAGGCCGTGCAGTTGTGATGACCTCTGGCATAGAGGACCAAATGGTGGTGTGGTAGCCGCAGGCGCTTGATCAGGCGGCTGAGCAGGTGGCAGCATGGCAGCCGCAGACAGTTGAGCTTGGAAATCCCAAAAAGAGAGTGAAGCACTGCAGCAGAGTAAGCCCGCAGAATTCAGCCACACAATCCTTATTCTCCTGCCACGCACCCCTCCTGCGGGGCCAGAGAGCTGGAGACCTCGGGACTTGTTGCCAGTGAAAGAGAAAACAAAGGAACAGCTGTAGCACTCCCAGTTTGGACGTGTGAAGGCCCTCACAGAGACAAACGTCTGAAACCGCAC